CGTCCCTTGCTGCTTCGCCGTGGTCCTCAGCAGCATCTCGTGGGAGTGGCCGTGCGAAGAGTGGAAATCGTTGATGTCAACGGGGGTGCTGGACGCTTTCGCGTTGCCAGGAGCAATTGCGGCATAAGCATCTTCGGTGTGTTTGCGGAAACCGTTTTGGACCTACAGGTTACTGCATCGGGGGAAGTACACCGACTTCCCCTTCTCTTTCTCCGATTCCAACTCGGGTTTATTGAGGGTTTTGGTTTCGAACCCATCGTCGAAGAGGGAAGTGAGAGATACTACGTTGTAATCTAGTCGGGGAACGTGTGCAAACCGTTTCAACAACAGGTCGGTTGTGCCGTCGCGCGAGCTAAGGGTTATCGTCACGTCGCAGTACCTCACGATGGGTGAAAAGATTCTCTGACGGCGACGCGCACACGTCGATCACACTCTTCGTAGCGAACGGNTGGCCGTAGCCCTTGCATGTCTCACATCGCACGGGCTTGCTCTCGGGGCAGTTGGCCACCTGGTGGCCCTTCTTACCGCACCGGAAACAGCGACCGCGCATGCTACCCGCATCGTCGTCGCCGCCTCCGCCGCCGCCACCAGCCTTCGCTCCACCCCCTCTCCTCTTCTGGTTACCGCCGCCGCCGCCGCCGCCACCCCCTTGCGGCGGCCGCCGCCGCTGCGACCCGGCGCTCCTCCCCCACCGCTACGGTCGCTCGCGAGGAGAGCGTGCTCCGCCCTCCGCTGGCCCTTCGAGTCTTCCTCCCCTCCGGANATGCTACCCGCATCGTCGTCGCCGCCTCCGCCGCCGCCACCAGCCTTCGCTCCACCCCCTCTCCTCTTCTGGTTACCGCCGCCGCCGCCGCCGCCACCCCCTTGCGGCGGCCGCCGCCGCTGCGACCCGGCGCTCCTCCCCCACCGCTACGGTCGCTCGCGAGGAGAGCGTGCTCCGCCCTCCGCTGGCCCTTCGAGTCTTCCTCCCCTCCGGAAGGTTCGCGTGCACCGTGCTCACGATTCTGACGATCTCGGCCCTATCCAGCGCCGTTGCTGTCTCCAACAGNAACCAACGAAGTGGGCGAGTACAAAGGGTGCGTCAGCGTTGAGCCCTTTTTCGCGTAGGCGTGAGTACAGCAGCTCGAGCTAATACAGATGCTCGATGGGGTTGCTGCTGCTTTGTATGGGGATCGTGAAGTTGAATATTTGCTTCATGAGGGCTTGTTTCGAGCCCTGCGATTCCGGATCGAAGAATTGTCGAGTTCCGCGAGGATCTCTTTTGCGGTCTCATTTGTTCACGATCGCCTCGTCGGCTTCTCCGACGATGGCAGTGGTCATAACATGGAACGCTTGGAGGCCCCTCTGGACCTCGTCGCTGGTGTATCGGAGGCGGTACAGCTCCGAGCTTGGCACGTTTGGGTTGCCGACAGGTGCAAGTTTCTCGTTGCTGCCGATCAATTGGCCGTCCAGTCTTACAGTCTTGGCCGCTTGGATAAGCGACTTTCTCCACGAGTCATACCCATGGCCGCGACTCTCCCCTTCGAGACGCGGGGCATTGACTGTTACTCTACTGCTGTAGTCGTCAACGAATTCTCCATTTCCTCGAATCACGGGTATATCATCTGGGGGGTTTAACCCCCTCGCTTCCCCGTAGTCCGGTCCTATGCTCGGGCCCACTCCGGCTGGTCCAACAGGGTTCGCTCCCGATCTGCTGGCCCAGCCGCCTTCCAGCAGCTGCCGTGGTCCTTGCCCACCATCTCTCGCTTGCTGCTGGGGAAATCCCCCGCCACCGCCGAGCGGCTGCATGGGCTCTTCTTATTGGCCTTCGGTGGCGTCAACCCAGCCGCCACTACTGGCTGCATCCGTCACGACGCTGCCAGGCTCCTTCTTTGTCGACTCCTCCACCAGTNCTTCGGTGGCGTCAACCCAGCCGCCCCTACTGGCTGCATCCGCCACGACGCTGCCAGGCTCCTTTTTCTTTATCGACTTCTCCACCAGGGCCGCCAATCGCGAAACCTGCAGTTGCAAACTTGCAAGCTCCGCATCGCAGCCCTCCTGCATCTGCGGGCGGATCTGTTCTCCGCTCGCAGCAGTGCGCTCTTCGTCTCCAGCAGAGCACATCCCAATGTGGTTTTCCTCGAGGGGCAAAAACTCTGGATTGCTTGCGGCCTCCGCCACTTATTTATGGCCTGCGTTCGGTTTGTCGCCCGAGTTGGTGCCCTTCATCCTGTTGATCACCCAGTCGGAGCTAGCATTCTTCTCTATCTAGCATAAGAGAGGCGGTTGACATGGTGGTGCCCGTGTTGCACTTACTTGGCTCTCGCTCTCTATCGTGGGTTGTGTGGGCTGTGGTGGCCGCTCGGCCGCTCTAGGCCTCCATCCAATCTCGAATCCTGACATGTCGTGGGCCCCCTGGCGCTACATGCCACAGCAGGATGCTCGAAAACCAAACGAAATAATCCGTTGGACCATAATATGGCTTCCAACGGGTTATCCGCCCGGAATTTCGCAACGATTTTTTTTTTCCGTCGGGCCAACTTTCGGGAGCCAGAAGAGTCAGCCTTAAACCGGCAATCTCTTAGAGTGAGCTCTCAAACCGTAGCCCCCTCTGTAGCAGCTAAAAAACAAAAAACGTCTACATATGTATGCTGTTGTGCTTCGCTTGCTTGTTGGTTCGAGCTTTGATCGAGAAATCTCAAAAAAAGCGTTCAAGCGTGTGATGGGTAACCAGGCTAGCACGGGAGGCACTGGTCGCACACTAGGCCTTCGCGCACAAAAGTGTAGAGAGGCGTACAGCAGTACATGTCGCACCAATGGTGGTGCGTAGCAGCGAGCGTCTGTGTGTTGTTGGTGTCATTTGCTCCTTTCCGCGGAAAGAGAGAGAGGCCGCTGCTTGCTGCTGCTGCTGCTGCTGCAACCAAATGTTGATCTCTCCTCTCGCTTCCTCCGCCGATAGCTAACAGCAGCAGTGTATGGCACACTCTTCTCCCGCCGTCTCGCCCTCGCTGTGGTTTTGTTCGTGAGCTCTGGCAACAGTACTTGCCGTGCGGACTTGGGGCTGCTGTTCAACTGGTTGAATTAGCACGCGATAGAGAAGGCACGAAGGGAGAGAGAGCGGAAGGAGAGAGTGCCCCGAACTCACGAAAAAAATGGGGGCTCCGCGCTCTCACCAAACTGTCTCGCCACATACCTCTCCAGGTATATCCTATCTGCGTCCTACGTAACGGCTTGTCTACTCCTACGTACGAACACCCTCCCTGGTTCTTTGCACCATCGAAGAACCACTCGTGCGTCGGAACTATGTCAAAATAGCTGAAACACAACGAAGAAAATAAAACCAAGGGGAAACCCGGCCGCCGGATCAAAACCCCTCGAGGCCCAACGCCTCAAACAAAATCAAACGAACCGTCCATGTCATCTATGATTCCAACGGCTGTACTGCAAGATCAAAACAAAAGCGACTTACACCAAACATGCGGATTACGATTTTCTAAGCAACGCTCTACTCTCCAACCACGAGGTACGCTCCTGGCAAAATCCTTCTTGAATGATGAAACAAGATCCTTGTGCAGCACCAACACTGATTCGTGTATCACACACATGTACGGGCAACGCCCTCCCTGCCTAACTGCATTCCGCATCAAAACTTCATCAGACAGGTACGTTCTCCCTCTTTTGGGATCAACCAAGCGCGATCCACCACCAAATCAAAACCACAAACATCCTGTTTCTGCTGAAGAACAAATCAAACACAACCGGTTTTCCACGAAACCCATCTTCAGAAACAAAACGTCAAGCCTCCTTCAAACAAGGCCCGCAATCTGCAAACAGTCAAAAACCTCGATCTTCCTTCAACCAAGAATGCATCAACATGCGATTGAACCTTCATGAACTACGCATCAAATATGGTGGCAAATTCTACCAACGTGCACGTTTTCATCCCCCCCCACTTTGCTACCATCACCGACACACCTGTCACCGATATGAGCCCTCGACACAACAAAAAAAATGGTCAAGAAGCGCAAAGCGTACATCACGATGTATAACGACAACACGTATACGTGAGAATTACCACTGGATTCGGCAACCAAAAAAAAAAAAATTACCGTCAAAAGAAACGACAAAAAAACGAAACAAGATCAAGAACGCTTGAAAAAAATTCGGATTTCACCGACACCCGTAAACTGGCGTCGAAAAAGAAAAACACGAGAAAAATTATCAAGCTTGCCCGTCCACTCCACCAGTTCCAATCGTGAAGATGAAGCGCGCCCTCGATCGTCCACAAGTCGATCCTGCCGATCCCGATCTCCATCGTCCCTTCCCGGCTTATGAAATGCGCGCGGCGACTCTCCACGCGACTTTGATGACACCGCCATATCGCTGTGCCCCACCCCAAATGCCCACCTCCGGCTGATGGTTGCGCGCCACCTCCGCGCGACAAAACATGCTGCCCCCCCCCCGCTCCAACGACGAGGCAGAACAGTCACGGCCCGTCCGTCCGTGCTGGGTTGCGCGCCATCTCCGCGCGACTTCAAGTGCTACCCCCCTTGCCTTCGAGCGAAGCGAGTCACACGGCACTGTAACCGCACACTGCACCGCGTCCGGAACCCCGTGAAGTGTGTCTACGAGCGAAGCGAGTTACGATGCCACTTTGTCTTACTCCAAAACCATTAGACTACACAAACAACACACCAAACCAGGCTATGAATTTTTTTCTTGTATTTTATCGCTCTGCTAACCCTTGGGGTCCATTTTATTCTGGTATACCTTTTCTAGGTACGTTAGCCTGTGACCACGGAAATTGACCGAGTCAAGTGCTGGATTAGTACGGAGAGATTGGGACAGAAGGAGTTACTGATAGAGAGACCGGGATGGTTTTTAATGTGAAGACAACAACAACTCCCAAGAAAGGTGCGCTATACGTCCGGATTCCGCGAACCTATCGTTCATGTACTGGCTCCCACACAGCCCACTGGGGCAAGTCGCAGTCGCAGAGAGGCCCTCCTCAAAGATGATGAAGTGATATCGACTCTTGTCTCCTCGCTCCTCGCATCTCTGCATCTCCGCAATCTCGCAATCTCCTCGAAATGTTACCGACACAAACACCGAAACGGCACTGGACCCGCCGCCCGAGCTATGACAACATGCTCCGTGCCACGTTCCAGCAGGGATGGACGCACGCGACGCTCTCTTGAGTTGATTGAATTGAAGTATACATGGCTGCCTAGCGCCGTCGTCATGGACAGCACCCAAGAAGGCGCCAACTACGCGGATGAATCTGAGGAGGAAGCAAGTAGCGACACAAACAGCGACTGCTGGAGCTATGACTACGGCCTCGCCGCAGGTGTGTGTGATGTGTGATTCGAAGGACGACTTCCACAAAATCTACACACACCCTTTTTCCCCACGAACATGGAAAGCCACAAGCTTCTTTTCATCGGTCGGTTTGCCACAACCAAGCTGGACTTTTATTTATCTACACACTAAAGTAGTCTGCATTTGTATTCTAGTCAAGCCTGTCTCCCGCCGTCTCCAGCAGGTTGCACGATTCCCTTGCGACTACTGCTGTGTTGCTGTGGTTCGTTGACGTTCGTGCGCTCTTCGATTCACACCACGTCGTCAGTGAGTCAGGTTGACGCGAGCTGTTGAGCGTGGGAAATGTCGCAGCTGGTAGGTGGCAGCCAGCTGTGGGCTGTCCTGCTGCCTGCCTTGTTGCATCACCCCTTGATGACACTGCTGTAAACTCATTAGCCCACTCCGGAGATAATCCCTTTACTGCTGTTGTTCTTCGACACATGTGTATTAGACTATATATAGTCTATGTATCAACATTCTACTACAGTTACAGTTGGCGCCCGCAGTTAAGAAATATTTTGTTAAGAAATTGAGGCTCACTTTTTCACGAAAACTAAGAAAAACGGGTTATTATTATGTGGAAAAGAGGGTTTCGTCCTCGACAGACGTTGGGGAGTTTCAACCTTTATGAAGGTGTTGACCACATTAATTACCCCCCCCTTTTTCGAGGCTTCTTCTTGTTTGCTAGGCAAGAGAANACTAAGAAAAACGGGTTATTATTATGTGGAAAAGAGGGTTTCGTCCTCGACAGACGTTGGGGAGTTTCAACCTTTATGAAGGTGTTGACCACATTAATTACCCCCCCCTTTTTCGAGGCTTCTTCTTGTTTGCTAGGCAAGAGAAGTCTTCTCGGGGTAACCGGGACCCGACCGGCTGGCGGCGAGTAGAACCACCTTTTTTTCCAACAATCTTCTTTCTGTGCGTGTTGCGGGTGCGCCACTTCCGCCACGCATTGCCAGAAGTTTCAAGTTCGATAGACAGTGCATTGTTTCTTGGCCCACCCACCGTTTTTCTTTTTCCGTACTCCGGAAGAAAATTAGGTGAGCAGCGGTTTATGAACCCGTGTCTTTTGCAACCAAAAGCACACACCTGGCATCTCTTGTCGACGCCATTGTGGAAAAGAGGGTTTTGTACTCGACAGCCGGTGGGGAGTTTCAACCTTTTATGAAGGTGTTCTCCACAGTTAAGAAACATAGCTCAATCTGGGTCACACAATAAGAAATGTCTCAATAAGAAAGGAAGGGAGCGGGAGGCGCAAAAGGGTGACAACCCCCAATGTTCACCTCACGGAGCTTGCAACATAATGACGGGGTAGTTGTCGTTGTTGGTACTTCAGCGTGCGGGTGAGGCATTATGCGGTGTTGATGCATTTGTTTAGTTTCAGCCGTCACTCATGAGGGGGGTACAGGACCTTGTAGCGATAGCGAGACGTTGCCGCTGGATACATTTCGCTTCTAGGGAGTGGCCTTACGTGCAGCCGTCGGTGGTGAGAATCGGGGTTGAGTACGGGGTCGAGGAAAGCAGAACACATCATTTGTATATTTGGAACGTTGTGTAGTATGCAAGCAGAGAAATAAGAAATTGCCGGTTTAAGAAATTCAGCAGGATTTGGCTGCACGAAAAAATAAGAAACTTGAAATAAGAAACTGAGCGACATACGCTTGAGTTTATAGCCCACAATAAGAACTCGAGGCTGGACCTGAAATAAGCGTTTCTTAACTGCGGGCGCCAACTGTAGTACAGTGCCGGCCCGCACTTAAGAACCTCCTATATTGGGCGAGGCTCAGTTTTTCTTGGCTGCCCCAACCCGAGCACCAGTTCTTATTTGCCAAGTTCTTATTTCGTCGTCCATTCTTGTCCAGAAGGGGCGTTCTTGTTCTTGCAGTATTTTGACATCGTTTGCTACATTGTCGGCCGTCAACCATGAGCAACACTAGTACAAGAAAATACCAAGGCATGGAGCAGCAACTGTCAACCTTCTTGGTCCACAAGGGTGACGTTGGTCCTGCGTACCCTTCCTGATCTACTAATGCTCTCAAGCGAAACCGCAAGGGGGAACACTGAAAATGAAACGNTTTTTTTGTGGGAATATATATGTGTTTGTTTTTCGCCCCCCGTCTTGCTGCACCCCCTGGGGTGTGGTGCAGGGCGAGGGATGCCTGGTCGGCGGGAAACCGGCACGGAACCCTCCGGCGCTGTAGGCGGGTGTGGGAAGCGTTCCCCGTTCTCCTTATATTTTATTTTGATCGGTCTCCTTGACGCTCTTTCTCGTTTGGTGCGGTAGCTGGTCTTTCTTCTATCATTTTGTTTCTCTTCCGAGTGGTTTTTGTACCCTATTTTTTTCTGTTTCTTCGTGGGGTCGTGTATGCCGGGTTTTGAGACCACGGGCTCCCAATCTTTCTTTTTTAGAGCTAATGTGAGAAACAACAACAACAACAACATACAACTGATGTAGATGCATGAAATGATACACTCTGTCGTTACTTATGGTCCGCGCTGTCTACAATGGGAAAAGTAGCCATACTTTCTGCAGACACACGGGCGAGAGAGGTGACCATACCCACTGCATTTAACACACATCCACATGTCGGTGATGAAACCTCAACCACACGCCTCTCGAGTCTATTGGCGGCCACGTCAGGAGGCAATGATGCGATAATGTTCTCCCGTGCCCTTCGCACATTTAATGACGTGCAATTAAACAACACCGTCCCGCACATGCTCCCATACATCACACACAAAAAATATGTTGATGACGAAAATATACACACCCCGAGACGCGCTTGCTCCGCAGCCACATAAGGGTGTCATATTAGAACACCCGACGAACCGAGTTCCCCTAAATCTTCCGTCTACAACTTCCCAACATAGCGTGCAGATACACAAGATGGCTACCAAACTGCCTTGTTGAGCCTGATACTCACAGGGGAGATATCGCTGTATGCTGTCTGGGAAGCCGTAGACATTCAGGTAGCTTTCGCTCACGCTATGGATTCATTGCTTATCTATCTTGGACAAATTTCTATAGATAGAGATGGATTTGTTGTGTGATATTCAGAAAAAAAAAAAACAGGAGCCTATAGCCGCATCCGAATCTCCGCTGTACTTGTCTAAGGGAAACTTCATCTTGCGCGTACTCTGGTCTAGCTCCAGCTGCACACAGTAGTCGTACAGGTGGCGAGTGTCCTTCTGAGATTGTTGAGTGATCAGTCCTCCAAACCACCCCATGCCCAGCCTAACGAGCACCCCACGCCGCAAAAGCAATCTGTCAAGAGCAACGGGATTAGCTTCTTGAATACGAAAGCCTGCCGGGATCTCCATTCCCTGTATCTCATCCTCCGGGTCTTGTGGGTCCATGCTGTCGCCGTCGTCCAGAAGAGCCAGCTCGTCGGTCTGGGGTTGAGAGATGTCTGCGAACGAGGCAACGGGAAACACAAGAAGTTAGGGCGTCACGTCGCCAAATTCAACCTGAACTTATCATAATTTGACTGTAGCCGTGCGCGGAAACAAGCTAACGTCAACATGAAGGACATCGTCATCAACAAAAAGAAGATGAAGAGTTGGTTTTGTGCAAAACAAACTTACCGCCGTCGTCTTCATCGCTGGAGTCAACGCCCTCCATGAGCGTCTCACGTCCTCCATCGCCCTCCTCCGCCCGCCCCTCAGGCTCATCGTTGCCGTTCTCCGAACCTTGTTCGTCGTAGCTACTGTCTTCATCGTTAGCGAATGTATACGGCTTGTCCAAACCCTCCAAGGTGGTTCGATCATCGCCCGAGCCATCCACGGTCATGGCCATCCCGCACTTTTCGAAAAGACGGTATCGGTACGCCTGTTGGCTGTTGAGTCTTGCCATGGCCGCTCCCATCCACTGAGTGATCAGGACGCGCCGATCAGAAGCTGTCAGCGACGCGGTTTCCCACCTCTCGAAGTTGTCCGACTGCTTGAGCCATATGTCCATCTGCCTCCCGACTTCCACCTTGAGAAATCGTCCGGCTCCTGCATCAACTGGCTGCACCTCGTCCGTGCACTCCGAAGGGCCATACCAGGCGAGAGTGTTGCAGTGCTTCGCAAGATACTCCTTGAACTCGTCCGTGGTCTGCGCGTGCAAGTTGTCCATGATAAGAATGGACCCCGCCTTGGGGAGCTCACCCCTCCCGCGCATCACGCTTTTCTCGGGGCCACCCAGGGGCACGACGCGTGCGTACAATGCCCACCCTCCCCCTCTAAAAAAAACAAATGTTGATATGTGGGTATGTACCCCTCCCAAATCCAATACTCTGTACTCTGGGATCACTCCCCCCTCTTCCCTCCCTCCCCCTGCGAGTATTCTCATCTGGCAGCCGCTGCATTGCTGTCGTTCTTATTTGTAGCAGCAGTTTTGCACCTCAGGTGTGTGTTCTTGTTCCTAACAGGGCGTGCAGCTGAGCAAGTGTTCTTATCGGTAACTTCTTAAGATTTTGATTTTTTTAGCATCAAATTCTTAAGTGCCATATTCTTAAGTGCGGGTCGGCACTGTACTTGAACTACTTGAAGTAGTACATCCAGTGTAGACTGCTGTGGCTTAGTCTTCTTGTATGCAGTACGGGCCCGGAGGTAAAGAAACGTTAATGTCTGGTCGAGTTTCAATTCTTTCTTGTAGGTCGAAGGACCAGCCGAAGTAATCTGTTTGCGTGGATGCTTGCTTATGTTTTCTATCGTTTCTTGGACAACAGCGACCGTACCCATTAGCGGGTTCGCGCTGTTTAGGATTTGGTCCTTGGACACTGTATTGGAGGAAGGATTTGACATGTTTTGACGATCAATGGTGAGGGGCGTTGTGCTTTCCGAATTCTCGTTTTGATTGGTCAAGAAGTGAAATTTTGTTTTGTTTGAGGATTTGGTGCCAACTCTTTTAAATTAAAGTTGTTTTTCCAGAAATATCCGTTTTCGTTCCGACGCCTTTCTGATGTAGCACAAATAAGTGTTGGGTACCTTGCTGAGGATGATTCTTTTGTATCAACGGTTTGAGATTAGTTCCAGAGACGGACGCGTTGGATTCGTGAATAAACTGATGGAGACGCGTTGTTGTCACAGTAGTTGTAACGCTATCGCTCAGGGTAGTTCACTCATGTGGTAGCGTAACAAGCACTGGCTAGGGTTCAATTAGTTCCGTCCATTTCATGGTTAGTTTCATCCATTTCATGGTCAGCTTCGTCCATTTCATGGTCAGTTTCATGGTATCTTACCATTTCAGTCCAGGGGAGACTAGCAAGGGGGGCTAATCCAGGAGGGACGAATCAAGGGGGGTCTACCCTTGTACTGCTTCGACTCACAGAGGGTTGCTTGTCAGCGTGGGTCAAAGTTCCTTTTCCGAGGTTGGCCGTGTTAACAGTGAGCGATCACCCAAAACACGAGTTAGGACAGAGCTCTAGAGGGGCTCCGCCAATGATTCAGGTACACCCTGGGGTATACCCTAGCCCTCCTCAAACCATCGTGAAATGGAATGAATCTCAGTATTTAGCGTCCGTTCATGCTACCGTGACACCCCCCCAGCATGTATGTGTTGAAAAACACAAAAATGCTAAGGAGGTAGCATGAAGGCGCTTTTCTCCCTCCTCAGATCATACCACGCCGGGAATATAGATCTGAGAAGGAAGGGTGCCGCCCTCCCCAGATTAAACCACAAAAATGGGTTTAACTTAGAGAGAACGGATGCCGGGGTAGTCGATGTCGCTGTCTCATTGCTGAAATCATCGACCACGAAGGACGGCCAATAGTACTTTGGCCGCCTTACACCGGGCTCCCTGATGACGACGATCTTGAGTTGAAGAAGACGGTCTTCCACAGGCGAAGATGATCTTCCTCCTTGAAAACGTTCCTCCACGGCAGTCTTCACAAAACTACCGATCTCTTCCTCAGTCCACGGCGGTCTTGCATCTTGACCAACGACTTCGACTGTTGAGGACGATCTTCAACTGCCGCATACCGTGTTGGAATTCCTCATTCATAACACTGCCGCAACACCCCCCCCAGCTTCCCGCATGGAAAAGGGAAGATGGCTGGCAGTGTACAACTTCACGATTCTTGAGCCATCAGCGGCGGAAGTCTGGTAGCCAGGTCCATTCCACGCTTGAGCTCCCTGCGGTTGAGCTCTTCCCAATCTCCATCGCTGAACTCTACTCTCCAATACGGGTCATAGAAGTCGCAGACCCTTCCTTTGCTGAGTACGATGTTGCCTTCTTGATCCATGAGCTCCCGTCCCACCATGGTTCCACAAGGATATTCCGCGAGAGCTTCGGCCCTCGTTGCCACTTCACGCTCTCCTCTCGACGGTGGTCCCGGAGGTCTGGGTGCGATATCCTCCCCGTGATAGTCTTCCCACAGGGCATGGAAAACATCAAGTTGCAAAGGCGAAAAACTGTCCCGAACAGTGTCTTCTGTGATCCACGGAGAAGTGGTGCCATCTTGGTACTTCCCTTGATACTCCCACGCCCATGCGGACGCTGTTCCTCCCGCTCCTTGGACCACCCTTCTATTCACCAATGTGTAGAGAGGTGCCGCGACTACTGAGTCTTCAGCTAATCCTAGATCCGGCGACCATACAAAGTGACCAAATTCATCTTCGAATGGATGTCGGATATTTTGTGGTCGAACGTGAAACGGCTTGAAGTCCGTGGCAGCTACCGTCCTCTGTCGGATTTGACGCCCATGCAGTCGTACGGTGAAGCTCAACCCTGTCCGCACCACATTCACGACCTTCCATGGTCCTGTAAAGTGGTCATGAGCAAGCTTAGGATGAACTCCATCTCTGTAAAGTGTACTGGCGCTCTCCTTGACCAATACCTTGTCTCCCACCTTCGCTTTGGTGCCTGGCGATGTACGTTGGATCTTCGCATTCTGGATTTCCCGGTGTTTATTCCTGTTTTCCTGTCTCACCTTGAGCACTTGCATCACTTCCATAGTTTTCCTTCTCGTTTCCTCCACCGTCCTTTCCAACGGCAACGCCGGCCCCGAGTTGTCCAGTGATGGTGACATGTGGTCAAATGATGTCCTTGGCGCCCGCCCAAAAAGCAGTTGATATGCTGACTCTTTATTGGGAAGACTCTCATCCGGTGTCGTACGATGGGCCCAAGCTACCACTGCCACATACTCATCCCACCTGTTCGGCCATGCCTGGCAGAGCTCCGACAGCATCTCTTGTAGTACCGCTCCCATCCTCTCGACTGTTCCCTGTCCTCTGGGGTGGTTAGTCGGTCCAAAATCGAGAGATATTTTGAGCCAACGGCACAGGTGTTCCATGATAGCCGATGTGTTTTCCGCCCCCGGGTCACAACGTACGGACATTGGTAGTCCGAACGTAAGAATGAGCTCCAACAATTTCTTGCTGACCCCCATAGTTTCCTTCGTAGGAAGTGGGAAGGCAAAGAGAAACTTGGTTGCCCGATCCACAATCACCAGTAAGTATCTGTTGCCTTTGTTCGACGTTAACTTCATGTCGAGAATGTCCATCTCCAAAACTTCCCATGGACGCAAGAAACGTGCCGGTAACATGTGAATTTGTTTGCTCCACTGTCTTTTCCTCATCCGGCATCGACATGACAATACGTAGTCTCGTACATCTTTCTTCAGTGACGGCCAATGGTACTTGTCCGCCACAATGATAGTAGTACGAGCTATCCCCGGATGTCCAAAGGTACCATGTGCCAAAGCCAAAGCTGCAGACACCAGCGTACGAGGTAGGGCTATCACATGTGCCGCCCCTCTCTGTACAAACCAGAGTAGACCTTGATCATCCAAGATGTAGTCATCCTTCTCTCCTTCACCTTTCTCTAGAGCTGCCCTGATGGGTTTCAACCTCAAGTCTTCCTGCTGGGCCCTCTTCAGTTGTGCACCATCTCGCAAAATACGCTCCATGCGTTCCAGCTGCTCGGAATGCCCTCTGCAGAGTGGAACGTCGGTGTCTGGTCGTGCTAGCCGTGGCTGCGATCTTGTTTGTGGAGACACCGGTGGTGTGGTGGAACGCTCAACCGCCGCTGGTCGTCCCTCTGGTGTTTGCCTCGCCGTCTCCTTCTCCGAAGAAGTGGTCGGCTGCCTGATTGTAGATGGGTTGAGTGTAGGCTGTCGAGCACGTCTAGCCGCACTCCTAGTCTCCGCCCGAGTCACCTTAAAACGTGTGCGGTCGCTGCGACGGTCGACTACACCTTCTCGAGTCACCGCTGTCACCGTCGCCTCTTCCTGATACAAGCTGGCTAAGTCGATGACTAATTGTTCGTCGACATTTTTGGGAAAACCGATCCTTTCTCTCTTTCCATCCATCTGACGCTTTAGCCGTCCTTTCAATTGTAAGAGATTCAGGACTTCCCGCAGCATCGGCGCTAAGGTGTTTTCTTGCATCACTCGAGCTACATCACATCGTCTTAGCGTCGGTGGCACCTCATAGTTGTCTTGGTTGATGGTTAGCTTGACATAATCTTCCCACGATAGCTCTTGCGCATCCTGCCATGATCCGGCGTCCTTGGGGTGTGTCGTAAAAGCTGTTGAGAGAGGTTTACGGCCCATGATGTGTTCCCTTGTAATCGTCACCACCGGTTCCTCAAACGAGAATATCTCTTTATTATGACGTCCTCGTTTCAAGAAGAAGCATCCCTGCCTTCCCAAAAAGGCGCCGACCGTTGGTGTCGATGGCGCTGTTCTCTCTACATGTTTCTTCCACTGAGAGAGTTTCGTTGTCAATTTAGGGTCACCGCTCTTTTTGACAGCCACCACAAACACTCTTCGTTTTGTTGTGGGTATCCCTACTGCCGTCGCTGACAACGACGCGGTTGCCGTTTCACACCCCGCTAAGTGCAATTCTGGTTGAAGCGTGTTCTTCCATCTCTCAGACCCCGCGAAGCCCACCGGGTTCTCCATTACCAGGATCTGTACAGGAGACGACACAAAAATCTGTACGATATTGTCGGCATTTCGTCCTGTGCTCCCTCCTTCGTCTTGACCTTTCTCAAGAGTGCACGCATTGCCAATGAGAATTTCCGGTTTGTACTCCCTGATTGTTTGACGTATGTCGGAGTCTAACGGCCGCCGTATCAAAGTTGCATCCCTTGCTCCGCCGTTGACCCTGATGCATTCCATGGTTTTCCAATCGGAGTCAATCACACAGGCCACGTCCAGCATCCCCTCAACAGCTTGTAATGCTCCACCTGCCCCTCTACCCAGCACAACAGCTCTCGGTTTTCGTGGGGTAAAGAGACTTTGTGCTTGTTGATGCGTGAACACGTATTCCTCATCATTTGGGGTCAGTACGTCAGGCGTGATCTGCAATGCATAGAAAACACTCAGATTCTCCTCCTCTCTGTCATCGATCTCGGTCGGACCCAGATCAGCTAAACAAATTCCGTCCAACTTAATCTCTTGCGGATCCTTGTTGAGCAACGCCAGGTCAGGTGGTGCGTCACTTCTTCTCTCCTCTGCTGCCACAAGTTGTGATTGTGCCATCCGCTGAAGAGGTACTCCTTCCAACACTGGTCCTTCAGGTCCACTCCCCCATACTTCTCCAGATCCATCGTCCGGCAGTGTGGTGTCGACATCTGGTTCGCCTAAGCCTTTCCTCCTTAGCCTAGAGAGCGCGTCTGGAACAACATGGTCTGTCCCCTTTCTCCACTTCAAGACCATATCGTACGCCATCATCTTCAGAGCCCAACGGTGCATCTTTGACGATAGTTTTTGGCTAGTGAAGAGCCACATCAAAGCTGCACAGTCCGTGATGAGGGTGAACTGACGGTGCTGGAGGTATACCTTGAAATGTTCTAGTGCATACAACACCCCAAGAACTTCCCTATCGTTTGACGAAAGTTTTTCCTCTGACCTGGACAACCTCTTGCTGGCATACCCAACCGGCGCTTCTCTATTCTCCACCTGTTGTGTTAGAACAGACCCCGCCGCTATCAAGCTGGCGTCAGTATGAAGCGTGAATGGTTCCAGCCAGTTAGGTAGCACCAGCACCGGGTATGTGGTCAGTTTCTCCACGAGTTTCATATATGCCTCAATTTGTGGAGGCCCCATGACCACTCGTTTATTCCTGGCTCGCTTAGAACTAAATTCCTTATTCCTCAAGATGTCGGAGAGTGGAGCAGCGATGGCGCTAAAGTTAGGTACGAATCCCCTCAAGTAGTTGGCCAGCCCCAAGAAGGACCTCAGCTCTCCAACCGTCGACGGCAGTTCCATTTCTTGTACGGCTTTCACCTTCGATGGTGCTGGTCTGGTTCCATCCCTTCCAACCATGACCCCCAGAAACTCCAGCTCTGGCAATAGGAATTCGCTTTTGACAAAGTGACCTGTGTACCCTTTTTGTTTCAGGATAGTAAGGACCTTCTCCAGCAATACAAAGTGTTCTTCCAACGTCTTTGTGTGAAGAGCGATATCATCCAGCCATTTCTCCAAACCTTTGCCCAATAACTCTCGCAAATCATCACCCAACGTAGCCGAGAAGACGGCCGGAATGGTGGTAATACCGAAGGCGCATCTATTTGACTCAAGTAGACGTCCTGTTGGATCCCTAAAGGCCGTCTTATGCTTGTCGGTCTCCTCCAGTTCCAGTTGATGATATGCCTGTGCCAAATCGAGAGATGAAAAGAACTTACTCCCTTTCATCCGATCTAACATGCCCGTGATGTCCCCGAGTCCACCACTATCCTTCTTGATGAGTTTGTTGAGATCTCTGTAGTCGATACAGATGCGGTAGGTGCCGTCAGATTTAGGCACTGGTACAATCCGTGAGCACCACGAAGAGGTGGATAGCCTGAAGGTTCCAGCTGCTAATCCCTGGTTGAGTTGTTTCATCAAAATGTCGGCCATGGGCGGACTCCACCGCTGAGCTTTGCAGGCTATTGGTGTGACGTCTTCATCAATGAGCGGCAGTCCCACCTTCCGTCCATGCTTAATCTTGACGACCTTTGTGTTCTTCGGGAAGAGACTCCTAAACTTGTAGAGCAGTTTTAGTAGTCTCTCTCTTGTCGCTGGGCTCGTCTGCCCCGTCCGTGCCATGCTTACATCCACCGACTGTTCGTCAGGCCCCTGGCTTTGGTCCCATGTCTGGCGCGTATCTACGAACTCGGTTACTGCTTTCCCTGGCAATGGTTCTTTCAGAAGCAGCATTCTTTCGACGTCACTACAATTAACCGCTATCGCCCGGGCGACTTGGGTTGACTCATTAATGATCTCGGAAGAAGTAGTTTTATTAACCACTTTAAGCTTCATCCTGGTACTCGGGTCCCACCACTGAACGCCCTTCGCCACTCCAAGTACTCCGCCTTTGTCCATATCAAAAGGAGCCACCGGAAAGACCAACACCAGAGTTTTAGTAAACGGTATTGGTCCTTTTACACGTGCATCCACCTCTACACTCACGCTTCCCGGTACTTGGATTTCTTGGTCAACATAGATGGGCCATGTTAACGTCCCGTCATCCTCCCACGCTGTTGACCCTAATTCCAGAGCTTCCATTGCCAGCACTTCTGACGGTGGTGATTGTCGAACTTCTTCCTCGGCTTGATCATCTACCGTATATAGCGCCCTAGTTGATGCGCTCTCCTCATGCGGTCTCCTCTGTTGTCCATTTGATGTTTTCTTTTTCACTCTAGGAAGCTCCATGTATGGCAATAGAGGTGTTCGATCAGACGTGGGTGATGGCCGAAACCACCCAGACCCCGGACCTCCAAAGTCTAGCGTGCTGTTGTATTGACGCATGAACGCAGTTCCCAGAATGAGACCTACCGGAAGTCCCTCCACCACTCTCACTCTCACCCCAAAAATCTCATCAATCAGGGGAAATACTAAGAACAGTACACATGTTCCTCTGATGTTCATCGGAGCTACCCCACTGTCACTTGGATTAGCTGCTCGCAATCGGCCTCTTCCTCTTGTTGACACCATGTTCTTTCCTCCATACTGACTTCTCTCCACACCTTGAATGAACTTCCAAGACGCATAATTTCCTCCTCCCGCGCCCGAGTCCACCAGTACCTCCACTGTCTGGGTCCGTTCTCTGGTTTGTTTATTCCATAGATTCGCCTTGACCCATGCTTGTTGTGCACCTCGTGACTGCGAAGAAGTCTTGTTCGTGGGAGTCACCACGGCAACTTCCGTGGCCATTTCACTGCCGTCTGACTCCCGCGTTGGATGCGGGTCTCGTGTGTTCCCCAAGAGTCGTGCTCCCAGGGCGCACCTTCAGTTGTTCGATGAAAGTTCTCCCTCGACTTCCTCAAAGTCCATCACCTCTGGCTGTTCCTCTCGCTCCTCATCCGAGTATCATCATCCGAGTATTTCTTGGCCACTCGATGCATGATACTCTGTGACAACCGCCATCTCCTGTGGTAGCAACCCAAGGAGAATTTCCACTCGTGACGGAGTGAGATCATCGGGGTTCGGGTGGACGATTTGATGCCCCGAAGCTGGGTGAGTAGCCAATCTATCAGGCGGAAATTTAGCTACCGCCCCTGACTCCATCGCGTACGCTTTCGTTACTACATCTTGAAAGACCAACGGATCATGTTGAGCCTTCAAAATGGGTGTGTCCTTCGTGTTGGTCTGCAACGGGGGTCCCTCGAAACCCCCTTCTCCCGTCCGCTGAACGATACGTTTCTTGATACCTTCCCACACCTGACGACGCTGTTTAGGATCTGCCATGTTGACCGCATAGACCGAGGAAGAGGATGATGGTCCATAGTATCCTCCGTTGTACCCGCGAGTCGCGAATCCCCCAGCTCCTCCTCCTCTTTGGGGCAGAAATGAGAAGCCAGAATACGGCTGTCCCACCCCACCATGATAGGGAACTGGCTGCGGCTGATAGTGAGCCTCTCCCTGTGTCTGGAAGCCTCCCCCGTGATACGCCATGTAGGGACTTCCTCCGGTGACATGGTACGGAGACTGCCCCTGGAAGGCCGGAGTTTGATGGA